AGGAGTGGATTGTGTGTCTGTTTGGACACGTGTGTGCAGGCTGACCACACATCTAGTCGAGTGGAATGATCTAGGATCCAGGCTGTGGTCCTTGTACTTGGTTAGGTGTCCCTGGCAGTTTTGTGTGTGTGTGTGGGGGGGGGAACTCCAGATGTTGCTGGTGTGTTCATGGGAGTTCCAGTGGAGAACTTGAGTTGGAGGGTTGAGATAGGTCCCTCAGTGTTGGGATGGTAAGGTAGGAGCCCTGGGTCTCCCCACTAGCTTCTTCTACAATTCAAGGTTTGATGGGGGAATTGGAGACCTGGGTTGTAAAGGTTGGGTGTGGGAGGCATCTGGCCTTTGGAGGACTGAAAAGGAGTCTGGGAACTTAGAATCCCAAGGATGAGAGATCTAGGGGTAGATGCCAGATTCTAGGATCGTGATGGAGGAGGAGCTGGGGGAAGAGGGGAGGGAAGAAGACAAACAGGGGTCCTGAACCCTTGGCTTTGGGTGACCCAGCCCTGAAGCTCAGTCTCCTTACATTTCAGAATCTACTTCTGAAATTCGGAGGCTGCAGAGACGAAGCAAGCGAGCTGAGGGAATATAGCTCTAGGGACTTCCTTAGCTCCGCTGGTCCCCGAGGCAGGCCAAAGGGCCCACAAAGGGACCAGAAGGTGCTAACCCGGTGGTTTTTTTTATTCCTTTGCAGGTGCTGGCCCAGGCCCTGACTCCCTGAAGAGAGGTGAGTTGGAGCCCTCAGGCTTGAGAGAGAGAGAAATGTGGGGTGAGCTTGGAGCCAGCTGGGGCCTAGAACCTCCCTGCCATAGAACCCCAGTCCTCCCTAGACTGAGGGGGGTGGGGACTAGTCTAGAAGCATCATGGCTGGGTTAGGGTTTTTAGTGACCAGGAGGCTTTGGGGGACAGGTAGAATCTCAGGGTAAGATGTAACCTCTCTTCTCAGTACAGATAAGTTCCATCTGGGCAGAGTGGTACATGCATGTAGTCCCAGCTACTCAGGAGGCAAAGATAGGAGGATCTTGGTTCGAGGTTGGCCTGAGCAAAGCAGTGTAAGACCCTATGTGAAAAACAAACTAAAGGGCTGGGAAGGTGTCTCAGTGGTAGAGCACTTGCCTTGCATGCCTGAGGCCCTGGGTTCGATTCCTCAGCACCGCATAAGCAAAAAGAAAAAAGCTGGAAGTGGTGTTGTGGCTCAAGTGGTAGAGCGCTAGCCTTGAGCTGAAGAGCGGGGACAGTGCCCAGGCCGAGTTCAGGCCCTCCCCCCCAAAAAAACAAACTAAAGCCAAAACAAACAAAAAAGGTTGTAGGTGTGGCTCAAATGGTAGAGCGCTGAGCGTGTGCGAGGCCCTGAGTTCAAATGAGCCTGATCTGATAGGTGTCTAATATAGAGAGGGAGAGGGGGGAAGGGGAGAGGGAACAAATGAACACCTTATTATAGTAGCAATTGTAGCAGCATTTCCTCTGTCAAGACCACAGTTACAAATAATAGTTACATATATTACAAAGAATGACAGAATTCTTTGAACTGATAAGGGAGTTGGGTTTTGGGTCCCCCCCCCCTTATAAGCCAGTTTATAGCTGGACATGTGGATGCTTCTTGCGGAAGTCCTTTTGACTGAGTGGGGACTTGGATGTGATCTCAAGAGAGTGGGTCTGAATTCTGTCCGCTGGTACTGCAGTGTCTCTTGGTACATACTAGGTATTAGGTATTTCCATTTGCTGCTTAAGTCCCACTCTGGCTGTGAGAGGTGAAGCTTTGTTCTAGTAAATTGGGGGTTCTGAGCCCTAGGGACCCCCCACAGTCAAGTAGAACTGGGGCACTGAATCATGCGAGACTCACTTTCTTAGGCCAGAGTGTCTGGTCAGTGCAGAAAAGCATTTTATTTTATTTTAAAATTAAATTTATTTATTTTTCTTTGCCAGCCCTGGGGCTTGAACTTAGGGCCTGGGCGCTGTCCTTCAGCTCTTCAGCTCAAGGCTAGCACTCTACCACTTGAGCCACAGTGCCACTTCCAGCTTTTTCTGTGTATGTGGTGCTGAGAAACCAAACCTGGGACTTCATGCATGCTAGATAAGCACTCTACCAATAAGCCACATTCCAATGGGCTTTTTTTTTTGGGGGGGGAGAGGGGTTGTTCTGGTTTTTGTGCTGGTCCTGGGGCTTGAATTCTGGGCCTAGCTCTGTTCCTGAGTTTTGTTTTGTTTTGTGCTCATGGCTGGAGCTCTACCACTTGAGTCACAGCTCTACTTTTGGCGCTTTTTTGTGTGTGGTTAGTTGGCGATCAGAGTCTCAGGATCTTTCCTGTCCATACTGGCTTTGAACCACAATTTCAGATCTCAGCCTTCTGAGTAGCCAGTGCCTGTTTTTTCCTCTTCCATTTTCTCTACTGTTTGTCTGTCTCTCTTTTATCTCTCTCTTTTAGGGCCAGTAGTAGAACTTGAACTCAAGGCTTCATGCTTTGCCTTAGCTTTTTTGCTTAAGGCTGGCACTCTACCACTTGAACCACAGCTTCACTTCCAGCTTTTTTTTTGCTGCTAATTAGAGATAAGAGGCTTTTCTTCCTGAGTTGGTTTCCATCCTTAATCCTTAGATGTCAACCTCCTGGGTACCTGGGATTACAGGCATGAACTACTAGTACATGGCTTAGTCTGTTTCCCTCTCTGGTATGTCTCCTTCATTCCCAGTTTTGCTCTTTCTTACTGTGTCTTGCTCTATTTTTTTTTTTTTTTTTTTGGTCATGGGGCTTGAACTCTGGGCCTGGGCGCTGTCCCTCAGTTCTTCAGCTCAAGGCTAGCGCTCTACCACTTGAGCCACAGCGCCACTTCTGGTTTTCTGGTGGTTTATTGGAGATAAGAGTCTCATGGACTTTCCTGCTCAGGCTGGCTTTGAACCACAATCCTCAGATCTCAGCCTCCTGAGCAGCTAAGATTATAGGCTTGAGCCAATGGAGGGAACCTTTTTTTTTTTTTTTTTTTTTTTTTTTGCTGGGAGGAGGTGTTGCCTTTGTTGTTGCTGTTTTCTTTACTTTTGTTTTAAGTTGGAGACTGAGACTTGAACTTGGTACTTGACACTTTTACTGGTTGGCTAGCACTCTACCAGCCGAGCTACATCTCCAGTGCTTGTTGCTGTTCTTAGCTAGCATCTTGCCTTTGGAGCTCAAGTGACTTCAAACTTATGATCCTCTTGGCTCTGCCTCCTGAGTGCAGGGATTACAGGTGTGCACTACCATGCCCAGCCTTTACCTTTTTGTGTGGGCATGTGGGGCTGAGAATGGAACCCAGAACCTTATAAATACTAGGCAGAGCACTCTTCTACTGAGCTTCACTCCCAGCTCTCCTTCATTTGGGATTCTTTTTCTTTCTCCGAATCTGTCCCTCTCTGTCTGCCATTCCAACCCTTTCCCCCTGGCTTCATCTCTTTCTGATTTTCTTGGTTTCTCTTATGGACACAAAAATGTAAGCCCCATAGAGTCTTAAGAAGTGTGTTAGCGGCACTGGAGTACAGGGAAGTGGGGATGAAAACTATTTCAGGGACACCCTTTCTCATTTTTTCCTTCTTCCACCCCTACCCTGTGTTGTGAGGGGGGGATGATTTGTCATGGGCTGGTGTAGAGGGGAAGGGAGGAATAAGAGCCCAAAGGCTTTGCCTGGAGCAGAACCATTGTACAAGGGTGTGTGTGTGTGTGTGTGTGTGTGTGTGTGTGTGTGTGGACAAAGACTCATTCAGAAGGACTGAGTCTGAGCTAGGAAATGGTTGTGTTTAATCTCAGTCTCTGCTTTCCTCATACTCTCCCTGGCCCTGCCCAGGATGGGAGAGGGATTTGAATGTTGGCACAGTATGCCAGGCCCAGGGTTGTTCAGTGGGAAGGTGGCTCAGTGGTAGAGTGCTTGCCTTGCATGCATGAGGCCCTGGGTTTAATTCCTCAGCACCACATAAGCAAAAAGAAAAAAGCTGGAAGTGGTTCTGTGGCTCAAGTGGTAGAGCGCTAGCCTTGAGATGAAGAGCTGAGGGACAGTGCCCAGGCCCAGAGTTCAGGCCCCATGACCGACAAAAAGGGGGAAAAAAAAAGGTCCCAGTAAAGATGGTATGACTCTCATCTCAATTTCTAAATGATGTTGTTCTGGGGTTGGGGGTGTGGCCAGGTGGTAGAGCACCAGCCAGTAGATGAGAATGTCAGATACTGAGTTCAAGTCCCAGTCTCAGACAATTTTTTTTTTTTGGTCAGTCTTAGGGCTTGAACACTGGGTTTGGCAGCTCTTCAGCTCAAGGCTAGCACTCTACCACTTGAGCCACAATGCTACTTCCAGTTTTCTGGTGGTTTATTGGAGATAAGAGTCTCACGGACTTTCCTGCTTGGGCTGGCTTTGAACTGTGATCCTCAGATCTCAGCCTCTTGACTAGCTAGGATGACAGGTATGAGCCACCAGTGCCTAGACAAGTTTTTAAAAAGTCATTCTGGCCCAGTGTTGGGGGAGTCACAAAGGGAGGATTTCAAAGCAGTTGCTCCTGCCAGGTGCCAGTGGCTCACATCTGTAGCTCCCACCTGTAACCCCAGCTACTCAGGAGGCTCAGAGCTGAGGATTGCTATTTGAAATCAGCCAAATCCAGAATTCTTTATCTTCAACTAGCCAGCAAAAAGCTGGAAATGGAGATGTAGCTCAAGCTGTAGAGCATCAGTGTTGGGCAAAAAGCTGAGGGTAGTGTCCGTCCAGGCCCTGTGTTCAAGCCCCTGTACCACATGTACACACACACACACACAATATTAAAGCATTTTCTTGTCATTGTAGTAGCATTTGTTCTTAGTACACCTTAGCCACTTGATAGTGATAATAACGATGATGGTGGTGATCATGAGGATGATGATGATGATGATGATAATGATGACTTCTGGCATGTAGTAAGCCCATCTTAGATGCTAGATGCTATTCTAAAGTCAGCCGTATGTATTGCTTAACCCAGTCTTCACAGAAATGAGCCCTTGTCTTTATCTCTACTTTCCAGATGACGAAACCGAGATTCAGAGAGGTTCAGACACTTTCCCGAGGTCACACAGCTAGTAAGTGTCACTGCCGGGATTTGAACCCAGACAGTATGGTTTTTGACATCGATGGCCTTAAGTTAAAGTCAACAGTGACTTTAAAATCTTTGGTAGGGTTGGGTGTTGGGCCTGTTTCAAATGGTAGGTGGCTTGCCTTGGGTTCAACTCCCAGTACCACCAATAAGAAAAAGAAAAAGAAAAGAAAAGTAGGAACTGAAGGATCTAGACTGGCCCAGGTGCGAGAAAGAAGTTGAACATTCAAGAGTGGTAATGTTTTTATTGGTTGGTCCTGGGCATCGTCTCTGAGTTCTTTTGCTCAAGGCTAGTGCTCTACCATTATTTTTTTTTATTTTTGCCAGTCCTGGGGCCTGAACTCAGGGCCTGGGCATTGTCCCTGAGCTCTTTTGCTCAAGGCTAGCACTCTACCATTTTGAGCCATAGCTCCACTTCTGGTTTTCTGATGGTCCACTGGAGAGAAGAGTCTCATGGACTTTCCTGCCCAGGGTGGCTTTGAACTGTCATCCTCAGATCTCAACCTTCTGTGTAGCTAGGATGACAGGTGTGAGCCACCAACATCTACCTATACTTATTTTTTTTGTTGGACATGGGGCTTGAACTCAGGACCTAGGGGACTGTCTCTGAGTTTTATTTTTGCTCAAGGCTAGTGCTCTACCACCTTGAGCCACAGCTCCACTTCCAAGGGTTGGTAATTTACCAACTAAAGTAGAAAGATTATACTAATTTATCCATAGGCACTCTGAGGGCTGTCACTGTCTGGTGTGATCAGGTCACTTGGAGGGGTGGGATTCGATTCTGACACTGAGGCAGGTCACTGGGAGCTGGTAGGGTGGTGATGGAGCCTCGTGCCTGTGTCATCTTCTGCTTCCTCTACAGGTCTAACCTCCTGTCCCTCCTGCTCTCTTTGGGCACCATGGCTCCCGGCCCCTTGTCCACGGTGCTCTTCTCGCCACCTCCGACTGCCCTGTCTTTTCTGTTGTTACTCTGGGCCGGGGCATCTCGTAGCCAGCCTTGTCCAGGCCGCTGCATTTGCCAGAATGTGGCACCTACACTGACCATGCTGTGTGCCAAGACCGGCTTGCTCTTCGTGCCACCGGCCATTGACCGGCGCGTGGTGGAGTTACGACTTACTGACAACTTCATCGCGGCCGTCCGGCGCCGGGATTTCGCCAACATGACCAGCCTGGTGCATCTCACCCTGTCCCGCAACACCATCGGCCAAGTGGCGGCCGGCGCCTTCGCCGATCTCCGCGCCCTGCGTGCCCTGCACCTGGACAGCAACCGTCTGGCTGAGGTGCGGGGTGACCAGCTGCGGGGCTTGGGTAATCTTCGCCACCTGATCCTGGGCAATAACCAGATCCGCAAGGTCGAGTCGGCCGCGTTCGACGCCTTCCTGTCCACCGTGGAAGACCTCGATCTGTCTTACAACAACCTGGAGGCCCTGCCCTGGGAGGCCGTGGGCCAGATGGTCAACTTGAACACACTCACGCTGGACCACAACCTCATCGATCACATCGCCGAGGGAACCTTCGTGCAGCTGCACAAGCTGGTGCGCCTGGACATGACCTCCAATCGCCTCCACAAACTCCCTCCCGATGGCTTGTTCCTGAGGTCCCAGGGCAGCGGGCCCAAGCCCCCCACGCCGCTGACCGTCAGCTTCGGGGGGAACCCGCTGCACTGCAATTGCGAACTGCTCTGGTTGAGACGGCTGACCCGCGAGGATGATCTAGAAACTTGTGCCACCCCCGAGCACCTTACCGATCGCTACTTCTGGTCCATCCCCGAGGAGGAATTCCTCTGCGAACCGCCGTTAATCACCCGCCAAGCTGGGGGCCGCGCCCTGGTGGTTGAGGGCCAGGCGGTCAGTTTACGTTGCCGGGCCGTGGGTGACCCTGAGCCCGTGGTACATTGGGTGGCACCCGATGGGAGATTGCTGGGGAATTCCAGCCGGACTCGGGTGCGAGGGGATGGGACCCTGGACGTGACCATCACCACGTTAAGAGACAGTGGCATCTTCACCTGCATCGCCTCCAATGCGGCCGGGGAAGCCACGGCACCCGTGGAGGTCTGCGTGGTACCTTTGCCCTTGATGGCGCCTCCACCAGCTGCCCCACCGCCTCTCACCGAGCCGGGCTCCTCTGACATCGCCACGCCCGGCAGACCCGGGGCCAATGAGTCAGCTTCCGAGCGCAGGCTGGTGGCAGCCGAGCTCACCTCAAGCTCTGTGCTCATCCGCTGGCCAGCCCAGAGGCCAGTGCCCGGTATCCGCATGTACCAGGTCCAGTACAACAGCTCGGCCGATGACTCTCTTGTGTACAGGTAAGGTGTGGGGTAGCTCCAAGCCCAGGGGTCTGTCCAGCCTTCCCTTCTGTGTGCCCATTCCTTTGGCTTTTTTTTTTCCTTTTTCTTTTTTATTGGTATCAATCTTGGGGCTTGAACTCAGCGCCTGGGCGCTGTCCCTCAGCTCTTCAGCTCAAGGCAAATGCTCTACCACTTGAGCTACAGCATGACTTCCAGGATTCTGGTGGTTCATTGGAGATCAGAGTCTCACAGACTTATCTGTCCTGGTTGGCTTTGAACCCTGATCCTCAGATCTCAGATCTTCTGAGGAGCTAGGATGACAAGTGTGAGCCACTGATACCTGGGTACCCTTGGTTTTCTTGCTCAGCTGGGATTTCTGCATGGCCTCAGACTTGTCTCAGACTCCTTCATTTGCTCTGTCTCCTCTCTCCTCTATTTCTGTCTTGCTCTGTTTTTCTTGCATTTGGCAAATATTTGTTGAGCATCTACATGAGGACAGTTGAAGGCTGGAAGCTGCGGTTATAATAGTGAAGGAAGTCAGCCTAATTGTGCATATCCTAGGGTTCATGTCCACATTGATCATAATCATCAGCCTTAGAAGCTGGGTGCTGGGGGCTCATACTTATATCATCCTAACTCCTCAGGAGGCTGAGATCTGAGGATCACAGTTCAAAGCCAGCCCAGGTAGGAAAGCCCAGGAGATTCTCATCTCCAATTAAGCACCAAAAGAAAAAAAAAAGTCAAAAGTGGAGCTGTGGGCTGGGAAGGTGGCTCAGTGGTAGAGCGCTTGTCTCACATGCATGAGGCCCTGGGTTCGATTCTTCAGCACCACATAGGCAGAAAAAGCCGGAAGTGGCGCTGTGGTTCAAGTGGTAGGGACTTGCCTTGAGCTGAAGAGCTGAGAGACAGTGCCCAGGCCCAGAGTTCAGGCCCCATGACTGACCAAAAAAAAAAAAAAAAGTGGAGCTGTGACTCAGTGTTAGAACACCAGCCTTGAGTGGAAAAGCTCAGAGATTGCACCCAAACCCTGAGTTCAAGTCCCAGTACTGGTACAAAATAAAAGTTAAACTTTTGGAGAGGGAACATATATGTGTCTATTTAGTTTCCCTCCCTTCTTTTCTTCCTTCCTTCCTTCTTTCTTTCTTTCTTTCCTTTTCCTTTCTTTCTTCCTTTCTTTCTTTCTTCCCTTCTTTCTTTCTTTCCTTCTTTCTTTCCTGGTTGGTCATGGGGCTTGAACTCAGGGCCTGGGTGCTGTCCCTAAGCTCTTTTGCCCAAGGCCAGCTTTCTGTTGGTTCATGGACTTTCTTCCCCAAGCTGGCTCTGAACCACGATCCTCAGATCTCAGTCTGCTGAGATGACAGCTGCTAGCCACTAACACTGGCTTTTAGTTACATTTCCATTAAGAAACTATTAACCACTTCTATTATGTTAACACATAGGGGTACATTATAGATAGAGAAAGCAAAGAGGGTGAGAAAAATGGATGTTATTTCCACCCCTTTGCCTTGGTTGGAAGCCATGTTTGATGAACAGATCTGGGTGGTGAAGGCAGTTTTTGAAATGTCTAGGGGTCCCATCCCCTCTTGAATTTTCTTTCTCTTTTTTTTCCTCCCCAGTCCAGGGGCTTGAACTCAGAACCTGGGCTCTGTCCCTAAGCCTCTTTGTGCTCAAGGCTAGTGCTCTACCACTTGAGCCACAGTGCCATTTCTGGCTTTTTCTGACTAGTTTATGGGAGATAAGAGTCTCTGGGACTTTCCTGCCTGGGTGTCTTTGAGTGGTCAAATTTTCTTTTTCTCCCCTATGTTGGTCTGTCTCCACCCTGTCCCCTCCTGCCCCCATTAGGTGTCTGATCCCTCCTCTGTGCTAAGCCCTAAGTTGGGTACTAGGATCCAGAAGGACAAAGAGACCCCAGTCCCTGTCTTCAGGATATTTCCAAACCACTGGGAAGAGACCAGAACACACCTTTGGTACTACCTTGGCCCCGTTAGGTCTCTACTCTATGGTTTTCCAGTCTGGCTCTTCGCCACAGATCTGGCACACAGTAGGGACTTGATAATTGACTCTTGGGCACCCAGTGGGGATTTGTTAACTGGCTGTTGGCTATGGGGATGCCACTTCTTGTCTACACCTCCCTTGTGCAACTGTAGAGCACCTGCTGAATGCCTTGCCCTGGGATTGCCCTCAGTCAGGCACTAGAGGGGCTGGAAAATGTTCCCACTTTTGATGCCACCTCTAGCTTTGGGGTGTGCTCAGACCTTCTCTTATATACCTGCCGTCATTCTCCATGTCCTCTTGCCACAGGCCTAGCGCAGGTGGGCACTCTCCCATTGTTAGTGAAGTGAATCAATGTCTCTCTTTTCCTCATGGTCCTCTCCCTACCCCTAGCCCCTAGATAGGGACTTGGTGCCCTGTGGCCCAGGCTGGCCTAGAATTTTTGGCTTCCCTGCCTTAGCCTCCCCAAGTGCTGGGATTACAGGTGTGTGCCACCACACTCAGCACTCATGCTCCTCCTTTGGATTCTGGCTACCTAACAGTGAGCACAGACCTACTCTGTGCTTCATCTGAGGTGAGCTTGGCCCTGGGCTGACAGAGATAGTTAGATACTGGCCCAGATTTACAAACAATAGGCAAAGGAACCACACAGAACATTTTGTATGATGTTTCCAATGGTGCTGCTACGTCATTCTCCCTTCCCAGTGTCTCTGTGATTCAGTGATCATTGCCCATCCCACGTTCTTGTCTTCTTTATTATTTGCAGCACTAAGGATCAAACCCAGGTCCTCACCCATACTAATCAAGTACCTCACTATACCCCCTAGCCCACCCTCACTTTGCAGATAGGGAAATTGAGGCTTCATGGGTGGGGGACAGGGCTGTCCTTTATATGCTGGACACATACTTTCTGTTTGCTGGGAAAATGGATAGCACACATTGGTAAATAACCCTGTTTCTTTCCCTCTCTTTCTCTCCTCAGTCCCTCTATCTGGCCCATAATCACCACATTGCCGATTAGGGGGTGGTTCCCAGATACCCCCTCCTTTCCCACCCTAGATGTGTGTTCAGATGTCTCCAGCCAAGCAAGAAACCCTAAGATGCTTCCTCTTCAGGGGTTAGGTTTCTGTCTTTCATCCTCTTTTACTGATGCCTGTATAATGGCTCTGCATGGGTTAACTTCCTCACTGCTGCCACGGGGTGGAGGTGATATCCAATCAGAAACCTGCTGGGTGGCTTGTTCTGGTCTAACAGCCAATGAGAGACCGAAGGGTTCAAGCTTTCTTAAGGAGCCAGTCTCTGTCCTTGATAAAGGAGGAGCCCCTAGCAACTGGTTATTTAGAGGGGGGGAAGGGAAGCAAGGGAATGCAAAGCTGTAAGGAGAAAGAGAAGAGTCGAAGTCTGGGGGAGCCAGGTTGGGGTGATGGTAGTCTGGGAAGAGGCAGGTAGGGGGAGCATGAGGGCTCCTTTGGTGGGTTCATACTTGATGTCTGTGGGTTGGAGGGTGACTCTTGGGTGTGAGGGACCCTCCTGGATGCAGGATGACTAAGGTGGGGCTTCAAAACCAAAAGGTGTCCTAGAGGAGGGGAATGTGGTGCTCTGAGAGGTGAGCAGGCCTGTAGAGATGGGGTATGGCCTTTTCCTGAGCTGGAGCCTCTTCTCTGACAGAGGAAGGGGCTGATCCTGCTCCTGACTGGTCACTAGGAGAGCTTGTGAGGTTCGGTGCTGTGGATTTGGCAGGCCTGAGTTTCTTGAGACAAGATGAAGCCAAGGAGCTGGGAAGGTGGCTCAGTGGTAGAGCACTTGCCTTGCATGCTCGAAGCCCTGGGTCCGATTCCTCAGCACCACATAAGCAAAAAGAAAAAAGCCGGAAGTGGCATTGTGGCTCAAGTGGTAGAGTGCTAGCCTTGAGCTGAAGAGCTGAGGGACAGAGCCCAGGCCCAGAGTTCAGGCCCCATGACCGGACCCAAAAAAAAAAAAAATGAAGCCAATAGGGAAGATGGATGTACCCAGCAGAAGGGGGCCACTGACATCCAGAACAAGTCTTACAGCTGGGCGCTGGTGGCTTACGCCTGTCATCCTAGCTACTCAGGAGGCTGAGATCTGAGGATCACAGTTCAAAGCCAGCCTGGACAGGAAAGGCCAAGAGACTCTTTTATTTTTCCTCCAGAGCTGGGGCCCTAACTCAGAGCCTTGTACTTACCAGGACGTAGAACTGTGGTTCAAAGTGGTAGAGTGCTAGCCTTGAGCAAAAGAGCTCCAGGGCAATACCTGGGCCCTGAGCTCAAGCCCCAGTACCAGCCAAAAACAAACCAAACAAAACAAAAAAGTCTTGCAATTGGTCAGGGAGGTATTGGCCCCAAACCCAAGGTTTCTGACTATCACTGAATGGGATTTCAACTAATGGCTATATTAAGTATCAGATTTTGACTGTTCAGTAATTCTTTCCTCATTTTTTCTCTCCTGCCCCTCATCTTCCTCCTCCCGCTCCTCTTCCCTCTTGCCACTCCTGGGGCTTGAATTCAGGGCCTGGGCACTGTCCTTGAGCTCTTCATTTCAAGGCGAGTGCTCTACCACTTCAGCCACAGTGCCATTTCTGGTTTTCTAGTGGTTAATTGGAAATAAGAATCTCTTGGACTTTCCTGCCTGAGCTGGCTTCAAACTGCAATCCTCAGATCTCAGCTTCCTGAGTAGCTACGATTACAGGAGTGAGCCACTGGCACCCAGCTCTTATTTTACTTCGTTTTTCCTTCCTTCCTTCCTTCCTTCCTTCCTTTCTTTCTTTCTTTTTTTCTTTCTTTCTTTCTTTTCTTCCTTTTCTTTTTTTTTTTTTGTCAATTATGGAGCTTGAACTCTGGGGTTGGGTGCTGTCCCTGAGCTCTTCAGCTCAAGGTGAGCACTCTACCACTTGAGCCACAATACCACTTCTGGATTTCTAGTGGTTTATTGGAGATAAGAGTCTCACGGGGGCTGGAGGGGGGGTGGTTGCTGGGAAGGTAGCTCAGTGGTAGAGTACTTGCCTTGCATGCATGAGGCCCTGGATTCGATTCCTCAGCACCACATAAGCAAAAAGAAAAAAGCCGGAAGTGGCGCTGTGGCTCAAGTGGTAGAGCACTAGCCTTGAGCTGAAGAGCTGAGGGACAGCGCCCAGGCCCAGAGTTCAGGCCCCATGACCGGAACCCCCCCCCCAAAAAAAACAAGTTTCACGGACTTTCCTGGGACTTTCCTGCCCAGGCTGGCTTTGAACTGCGATCCTCAGATTTCAGCCTCCTGAGTAAGCTAGGATTATAGGCGTGAGCCACTGGCGCCTGGCTCATTTTTTGTAATATGGGAAATTTGATTATCCCCACCTATCCACATGTGGGGTGAGGGAAACTGATGTATAGAAATGTTAAGCCGGGGCTGGGAGGTTGGCTCAGTGGCAGAGTGCTTGCCTCACATGCATGAGGCCCTGGGTTTGATTCCTTAGCACCACATAAGCAGAAAAAGCCGGAAGTGGCACTGTGGCTCAAGTGGTAGGGTGTTAGCCTTGAGCTGAAGAGCTGAGGGACAGTGCCCAGGTCCAGAGTTCAGGCCCCATGACCTCCACCACAACCACCAACAATAAAAAGAACATTTAAAAAAAAAAAAAGAAAGAAATGTTAAGCCGTGGAGCTAGGAACGTAGCTCAGTGTTAGAGTGCTTGCCTTGCATGCATGAGGCCCTGGGTTCGATTCCTCAGTACCACATAAGCAGGAAAAAACCAGAAGTGGCGCTGTGGCTCAACTAGTAGAGCACTAGCATTGAGCTGAAATGCTGAGGACAGCCCTCAGGCCCAGAGTTCAGGCCCCACAACTGACAAAAAGAAAAAAAAAAAAAAGAAATGTTAAGCTGTGCACCCATGGCTCATGTCTGTAATCCTAGCTACTCAGAAGGCTGAGATCTGAGGATCATGGTTCAAAGCCAGCCCATGCAGTAAAGACTTTGAGACTCTTATCTCCAATAAGCCACCAGAAAACTGGAAGTGGTGCTGTGGCTCAAGTGCTCGCCTTGAGCTGAACTGCTGAGGGACAGTGTGCAAGCCCAGAGTTCAAGCCCCTGAGGACCATCACCAACAACAAAAAGAAATGTTAAGAAACTTGCCTAAGGACACAGAGCTAAGCCAGAGGCAAAGGAGAGATGCACACTCAGATGGCCTTGCTCTCAAACTTAATTGATATAACTACTTTCTTTTGCCTTTGAAGGGAAGGGCTTACAGCAAGAAAGGAACACACTAGCTTGGCTACACTTAATTCAATTATGGATGGAACCTTGGAGGTCTGATTAGGTCTTGTCTGACATTACTGGGCTTTCAGTACACAAAGGAGTGGTTGCTTCTAATATCTGGGTAAGGGTGGGGCATGATGAGCCTAGGCAGAGTAGAAGAATTATATTCCTGGTTAGCCTTTGTGGGGTGTGGCTTCTCGAGCACGCATGCGCATGCTAGTACTGGGGCTTGAACTCAGAGCCTTGCCCAGTCTCTTGGTTTGGGCTTTTGTGCTCAAAGATAGTTCTCTACCACTTGAGCCACTGTTCCCTTTTTGATTTTTTTTTTTTTAAGTTGTGGGGCTTGAAATCAGGGCCTAGGCAATGTCCCTGAGCTCTTTTGTTCAAGACTAGCTTTCTACCACTTTGAGCCACAGCTCCACTTCCAGTGTTTGAGTGGTTAATTGGAGTTAAGAGTTTCACAGAAACTTTTCTGTCTGCTCAGGCTGGCTTTGAACGGGATCCTCAGATCTCAGCCTCCTGAGTAGCTAGGATTACAGGTGTGAGCCACCAGGGCCTGATGCAATGCCCTTTAATAAAGGTGGGAATATGTAACTGGGTGGAAATTGTGCCTAGAAATGATGGTTTTATCCAAAGGTGGATGAAGGAGAATGACTGGAAGCATGGTTCCTCCCACATGTGAGGCAGGGATAAGTATGAAAGAGGAACTAGAAGATAATCCTTTATTAGGATGAATAAGACAAACTCTGTAAATGCTTAGCCTTGGTGTACATATGGCTGTGGGTGAGGCATGCAGATAAATTGGGGGGGTTTAAATTTGAACCACCTAGAGTTCCAGGGTGTGAAAACTACAGAACTCCTCCCATTCAAGGGTGGGGATATGTAAATGAGACATGAATGGCAGATAGTGTTTCAATAGGCGGTCTGGGGGCAAGGCCAGGCAGATGAAGGGTGTGGCCTGTAGCACCAGTCTCCTTAAATGGTAAACAAATGAAGATTAAGGCGTTCAATTAACAGTTGTGGGAGATACTGAAGGGGGCGTGTCCCTTGGGGGCAGGATAGAAAAACTACAGTACTCCTCCCACGTGGGGGCGGGGATATGTAGATGAGGAAGCATGAATGACAGATATTGTCCCCAATAAGTGGTTGACCAGGTGTGTCTGAGGGTGGGGCATGCAGACGAGGGGCGTGGCCTGTAACTGTGGTCCCGAGAAAGGGTAGAACTATATTGGAGGGAAAGAGGGGAAACACCCACCCCTTCAGGTTCAGTTTCCTCTTTTTATTTTCTGGGTGGGAGGAGGGGTGTCAGGTGAAAGGGTGCGGGGTTCAGAGTGGGGCTAACTACCCTGACCCCCAACTCCCTTTCTGCAGGATGATCCCATCCACCAGCCAGACCTTCCTGGTGAACGATCTGGCAGCGGGCCGGGCTTACGATTTGTGCGTGCTGGCGGTCTACGACGACGGCGCCACGGCTCTACCCGCCACGAGAGTCGTGGGGTGTGTGCAGTTCACGACGGCGGGGGATCCTGCACCGTGTCGCCCCCTGAGGGCCCATTTCCTGGGTGGCACCATGATCATCGCCATTGGGGGCGTCATCGTCGCCTCGGTCCTGGTTTTCATCGTTTTGCTCATGATTCGCTACAAAGTATACGGCGATGGAGACAGTCGCCGCGCTAAGGGCGCGTCCCGCTCACCCCCGAGGGTCAGCCACGTGTGTTCGCAGACTAACGGTGGTGCAGGCACCCAGCAGGCCCCGGCCCCGACCGCACAAGACCGCTACGAGGCACTGAGGGAGGTGGCCACCCCGGCTGCTGCGGTGGCCATCGAGGCCAAGGCCACCACCACCACCGCGGCTGAGGCAGCTTCCATGGAGAAGGAGACGATCCTAGGACGCTCTCTGGGCGGCTCGGCCACCTCCCTGTGCCTGCTGCCATCCGAGGAAACTTCCGGGGAGGAGTCTCGGGCTTTGGCAGGTCCTCGGAGGAGCCGTTCAGGGGCCCTGGGGCCACCAGCTTCTGCGCCCCCGATTCTAGCTTTGGTTCCTGGAGGGGCTCCAGCCCGATCAAGGCCGCAACAGCGTTATTCCTTCGATGGGGACTACGGGGCGTTATTTCAGAGCCACAGTTACCCGCGCCGCGCCCGGCGGACAAAGCGCCACCGCTCCACGCCACACCTGGACGGGGCCGGCGGGGGCGCGGCCGGGGAGGACGGAGACCTGGGGCTGGCCTCCGCCAGGGCGCGCCTGGCTTTTACCAGCACCGAATGGATGCTGGAGAGTACCGTGTGAACGAGTGGGGAAAAGGGGTCCGGGAGCCGGGATGCCTGGGGTAGGGGGGGGCGTCCCCTCCACCCCACCCCCACCCCCATGGATAAACGGCCACAGCCCCTCTGGGACGCTGGGGCGGGAAAAGCACATTGCCAGGAACTTGGGCCAGGAGCTGACCGGGGGAGACTCCGCCCTTCTCCTCCTGGGAGGGAGGGAGGGGCGGGGGCATCCCAAGACCACGCCCAGAACGCGCCTCATTGGCTCGGGGGCGTGGTCACCGGCCGCCACGCCCCCTCCTGCCCCTCCCCTCGCGCGCTCGCGGACCTCGCTGGAGCCGGTGCCTTACACAGCGAAGCGCGGGGAGGGGCAGGGCCCCCCCGACACTGCAGCACTGAGACACGAGCCCCCTCCCCCAGCCCGGGACCCCGGGGCAAGGGGTCAGGGGTCCATTTCTTGTATCTGGCTGGACTAGATCCTATTCTGTCCCGCGGCGGCCTCCAAAGCCCCCCCCCCCACCCTTTGACACACACCTCATCCCTACCCCCTATTTCCCTTCCCTGGTCCCCTTTGTCTGTCTCTGTCCCGTCCTCTTGTCTGTCTGTCTGATGTCTCTGTCCTGCTCTACTTGTTCCTTTTTTCTCTGTTCTGTGGTGGTCTCTTCTCCCTCTGCCTTCCCTTAATTTGTCTTCTCCCCTAATTTCTTCTCACTACCAGATGTTCCGGGCAGGTCCCACTGGAAGGACCAGACTTTCCCCCCTATGCCTTCTTCGTACCTCCTCTCCCCAACCTTGCCCCCAATAAATCCCTCACATGAACAAAATCCAAAACCAAATTCCCCCCACTCTACCAGAGCCGGGACCCTCCGCCGCAGCAGAATTAAACTTTTTTCTGTGTCTGAGGCCGCTCTGCTGACCTGTGTGTGTGGGTGTGTGTGGGTGTGTGTGTGTCTTGAGGGGAGGGTGGCTTAGAAGGTAAAGACCTAAATTAGACTGAAGGAAAGATGACAACAGGGAATGGGGGTCCTGAACTGCCAGACAGGCAATTACCTTCCTAAAATGAGGTGTAATCAAAATAAAATTATTGTAGTTGGGTGCTCACTGGTGGCTCATGCCTGTAATCCTAGCTACTCAGGAGGCTGAGATAGGAGGATCATCGTTTGAAGCCAACCCAAGCCAAGAGAAAAAGAAAAAAAAAGGAGACTCATCTCCAAGTAGCCACCACAAAGCCAGAAGTAGAGGGATGGTTCAAATGATAGAGCACCATCCTTTAGCAAAAAAGGCAAGCCAGAGTGGGAGACTCTGAGTTCAAGTCCCAGTACCCACTCACCCCCACATACAACATGATTGTAGTTAAAGTAAGTGCTCAGCCCTTAATCCTAGCAGTGACCCTAGGACACAGGGATTGCTGTCTCATTTTACAGATGAGCAGAATGCAGTCCAGGAAAGGTAAAATACCTTGCACATGGTGATATAACCAGGTGGAAATCAGATTTTTAAAAGGCAGGAAAAGGCTGGAGGAGCGGTGCAGTGGTAGAGCACTTGGCTAGGAGGAGAGAGGCCTTGCGTTCCATCCCCAGTTCTGCGAAAATCAACCAACCCTCACCCACATTGCCTGTAAAAAGACAGGTGGAGTTGGGTATTGTGGTCCCCACCTGGAGTCCCAGCTACTCTGGACGCTGAGGCAGGAGGATCGCTTGAGCCTAGGGAGTTCCAGGTCTCAAACAATAAATAATGATAAAAAGGCAGGTGGCCTGACTTCTGGTTTGTTTTCAACCTGAGCCCTCTCTGTCGGGCAGTCTGAGTGATCTTTTAGCTCTGAGGCCTCCCATATGTGCAACACAGGAAGTGGAAGCAGAAACAGTTGAAGGCCCTCCCCTGCCCTGCGTCCCTGTGGATACAGAAACTGGCAGTTTGCCCATGCTTATGCAGCTCAATCTGGGGAGACTAGGGAAATAGCTCCACTGAGAGTGGCTGAACTTGAGAACCTAAACCAGGCTGATAGGGAAGTTCAAGTGAGTCACAGAAAAACCAGCCTGATAAAGCGTAAAGTCAATCAGAGCCAGGTGCTGGTTTGCCTGCCTGTAATCCCAGCTACTCAGAAGGCTAAAATCTGAGGATCACGGTTCAAAGCCAACTCAAACAGGAAAGTCTATGAGACTCTGATCTCCAATGAACCAGCAAAAAAAAAAGCCAGGAGTGGAGCTGTGGTTCAAGTGGCTGTGGCTCACTAGTCTTGAGCAATAAACTCAGCAATAGTGCCCAATCCTATGGAAGGCTCAGGATTGGCACACACGCAGGTACAAAAAGTGAATCACAGATAACCAGCTAGGTAGGGAAGCACAGTCACTCTTACCTGTAGTCCCAGCTATTTGAGAGGCGAGCAGGAGGTTGGAGATTCTATTGGGAAAAAAGTGAGACCCTTTCTGAAAGAGAGAGAGAGAGACAGAGAGAGAGGGACTAGAGGTATGACTCAAGTGGTAGATCACCTGCCCAGCAAGTATGAAGGTCTGAGTTTAAAACCCAGTACACACACACAAAGACCAAAAAAAGAAAAAACCAAAACCCCCACTACCACCACCAACAAAAGTACTGGTCCAAGTATACAATGCCTGCCATTTTTCTAACTACTTACTTAGGACATGGAAATAATAGAAAATCACAGTCCAGATCAACCAAGGCCAGAAACCATGATAACCCTGTCTGAAAATTAATCAAAGGCCAAAAGGCTTTCAGAGTGGCTCAGTAGGTAGTGTCTGTTTATCATGTTCAAACCCCAGTAAAGAAGGAAGGAAGGAAGAGGGGAAGGAAGGGAAGAAGGAAGGACGGGAGGAAGGAAGGAAGGAAAAAAGAAAGAGAAGGGCTGGGAAGGTGGCTCAGTGGTAGAGCGCTTGTCTTGCATGCCTGAGGCCCTGGGTTCGATTCCTCAGCACCACATAAGCGAAAAGAAAAAAGCCGGAAGTGACGCTGTGGCTCAAATGGTAGAGCGCTAGCCTTGAGCTGAAGAGCTGAGGGACAGCACCTAGGCCCAGAGTTCAGGCCCCACGACTGGACCCAAAAGAAAAAAGAAAGAGAAAGTCTAGAAAGAATGTGAAGTAAAGCATAGAAAACAAGTGCGTTAATGGGGTGCAGGTGGCTCAAACCTATAATTCTAGCTACTGGGGAGGCTGAGATCTGAGGATTGCACTTCAAAACAAAGTCCAGGCAAGAAAGGCCATAAAATTTATCTCCAATTAACCACCTAAAAACTGGAAATGAAGCTGTGGCTCAAAGTAGTAGAGCACCAGTCTTGAATGAAAGAAGCTTAGGAAAAACACCCAGGCCCTGAATTCAAGGCCTACCACTGACAAAAAATAAAAAAGAAAAGCAAGCGAGCAAGCAAGCCAGTGTGTTTGGAGATGAATGTTTTGGTTCTTATCTGTAATCCTACGTGGGAGGTGGAGATTGAAGAGGATCTCAGTTTGAGGCCAGCCATGACAAAAAGAAGTTCATGAGATTCCATCTCAACCAATGGCTGTGCATGCTGGTACTTACTGTAGTTCCAGCCTTGGGGTGGGGCAGGGTGAGTTCAGTAGCTGGGTATAGTGGTGGGTACATAGAGAAATAGAAATAGATGAATGGCACTCCAGTTTGGTAAGGGCAGCCTACCTTGAAAACTAATAATGCAAAAATTAAAAAAGGTAGGAAGTGGCATTGTGGCTCAAGTGGTAGAGTGCTAGCCTTGAGCTGAAGAGCTGGAGGACAGTGCTCAGGCCCAGAGTTCAAGCCCCACGACCGACAAAAATAAAATAAAAATTAAATTAAATGAAAAGAAAGGTGTTGGAGGTATGATTCAAGTGGAAGAGGCCCTTGCCTAGTAAGTGAGTTTGATCCTCAGTACCATAGGGGGGGGGCGGGAGGGGGGAAGGGGGGAATCCTGTTTATAAGCAGTAGAAGAGAGCTGTCTCCCTCTGGGCATTGGTCTGTGGCTTGAGAGAATCTTGCAGAAAAAGATAGGTGCCAGTAACTCACGCCTGTCCTCCTAGCTGCTCAGGAGGCTGAGATCTGAGGATGGTGGTTCAAAGTCAGCTGGGGAAGGAAAGTCCATGAGACTCTTATCTCCAATGAACCACCAGAAAACTGGAAGTGGCATTGTGGCTCAAGTGGTAGAGCGCTATACTTAAGCAAAAAAGCTCAGGGACAGTGCCCAAGTCCTGAGTTCAAGTCCCAGGATGGACACACACACACACACCTGCTGGTGGCTGGGAGGACAATGGGAAGGAGGCTGGAGGGGGCTCTGAGGCCATCTCTCTGAGGCCAAGGGGGGATGTTGGGGTCTCCGGGCTGGCACAGTCCCTGCAGTAAAAACTCATTTCAGATCCAGGGGAAGGAGGAGGACAGCTTCTAGCCAGCTAGGGGCCCCCTGAGGCCTGGGGAGAAGGAAAGGAAGACAGAAATAGCAACAGAGAAGGAGGGAGGAGGATAGAGCTGGGCAGACGGGGTGGGAGGCTGTGAGGACAGCTGCATAGCTTTGGAGAAGTCCAGGTGTGGAGGCTCCTTCCTCAGCCTGCCAGGCCCAGCCACTAAATGCTCCCAGCGACTCAGGCTGGCCTGGCAAGCCTTCCCGGCTACATGCCGAGGCGAGGGGTGGGGTAGGGGACAACCCAGGCGGGCCCCAAACTCTCAGCAACTTCAGTTGCTCACATAATAAGCAAGATGTCGAAAACTGCAACAAGCTGGGTTGCTGGTGGCTCACGTTTGTCATCCTAGCTACTCAGAAGGCTGAGATCTGAGGATTGAATTTTGAGGCCAGCTTAGGCAAGAAAAGACCAAGACACTCTTATCTCCAATGAAACACTAGAAAAAAAATCCAGACTGGAAGTATGATTCTAGTGGTAAAGTGGTAGCCTTGAACACAAAAGCTCAAGAACATCACCCAGACCCTAAGTACAAGCTGCATGACAAATAAATAAGATCTAACTGGGTGCTGGACCTCATGCCTGTAATCCTAGCTACTGAGGAGTCTGAGATCTAAGGAACACAGTTTGAAGCCTGTCCTGGCAGGAAAGTCTGTGAGACTCTTTTTCTTTTTTTGGTCGGTTGTGAATCTTGAAGGACCTGGGCGCTGTCCCTGAGCTCTTCAGCTCAAGGCTAGCACTCTACCACTTAGCCACAGAGCCACTTCCGGCTTTTGCTGTTTATGTGGTGCTCAGGAATCAGACCCAGGGCCTCATGCATTCAAGGAAAGCACTCTACCACTGAGCCACCTTCCCAGCCCCTGTGAGACTCTTATCTCCAATTAACCACCAGAAAACTGGAAGTGGAGTCTCATGGCTCAAAGTAGTAGAGCGCTAGCCTTGAGCAAAAGAACTCAGGGACAGTGCACAGGCCCTGAATTCAAGGTCTATGACTGACAAAAAAATTAAAAAATCTGTGAATAGGAATTGGAAAGGCCTTGGTTATGTGTGTTTGTGTGTGTGTGTGTGTGTGTGTGTGTGTGTGTGTGTGTGTGTGGTATGTGTTGTGTGTGCCAGTACTAGGGCTTGAACTCAGGGCCAGGGCACTATCGCTTAGCTTTTTCAATAAAGGCTGGCACTCTTCTACTTGAGCCATACCTCCACTTCTGAGTTTTTTTTTTTTTAGCATATTGGAGATAAAAGTCTCATGGACTTTTCTGCATGGGTTGGTTTGGAACTGCACTTCTCAGATCTCAGCCTCCTAAGTAGTTCGGATGCCAGGCATAGGTTACTGGCTTCTGGCCTTGGTTCTTCACTGATCAGTTATTATCAGATAATATATGCTGAGTGACATATAGCCCTCGATCTGTCTTAGGTATGTGCAGACCCATGCACCTGCACACACACACTCACACATGCACATATACACACACACGAAGATGTATGCATGAATATGCACTGTGATGCAGCTTTGTCTAATCCCAAGTTTGGGGAGACACTCACCTTGGACACACAATCACAAAAATCAAGCACACACCAACAACATACACTGACATCCACACTCAGACCGGTATGACCATCACAAGTAGCCACACCTAAAGCCAAGGGTATTGTGGGTTTATTTATTTTTTTCTGTTTATTTACATACAAGTAGAAAAATAAACTCAACTATAATCTTAAATCTGGGCTATAAATAAGGGGAAGGAGGAAATAACTTAAGGAAGGGTGGGGACTAGGGCATAAATAGGGTGCAAGTGTCCCCCAGATGCACTGGGGATGAGTCCACATTATTTGACACACAGGGCACTCCTGGTGACACAGCTCAGGCCCTAGGTGAGGAAATGAAAACAGATTGAAGGTGACAGAGGCCTGCAGGAAGCCTGGAGACTCCTAGGGGAACAGAGAGGGTGGGGTGCTCATGGCTGTTCAAGCTTAGAATACAGGCACAGTATACCAGCACGTGCCCCTCACCTGCTTCAGGGCAGCCTGGAGCCTGTGCAGCCAGTGGGACAGGCGGGCTGTGGGGCCTGGGACTAGCTGAGGGCTGAGCCTGGGCCTGGGGACAGAGCAGGGTGGAGTTGAGGCCAGGCCTGGGACCTAAGGGGCCACTGGGGATCAGAGCCCCACCTCTCTATTTGGGACAGCTTGGGCCCAGGACTCACACAGGCCAGGAGCTGGTAGTGGATGTAGTACAGAATGCTGAGCCATTGGTCCAGGATGTCCCCCAGGGCGGGGTCAGCCACGGAGCCCAGCACCTTCAGCGTCAGGTCCAGCTCAGTGTGCAGGGCCTCCGGGCGCTCCCATACCTGAGCAGGGGCACAGGAGGGGGAGGCTTAGGAGATGGAGGCCAGATGGGCATGGAGGCTAGGGTAAGTGGGGACCAGAGCAGGTGCTAGAGGCAGGTGAGGGAAGTTAGGAGAAAGAATGAAGAGGCTTCAGGGGAGATAGAAAGAGTAAGAAGTAAGCCAGGCACCAGTGGCACATACCTGTAATCCTAGCTACTTGGGAGGCTGAAATCTAAGGATCATGGTTTGAAGCTAGCCCAAGCAGGAAAATCCATACAACTCTTTTTTTTTCTTTCTTTTATTTGGGGGTGGGGGGAGGGTCCGGTCATGGAGCCTGAACTCTGGGCCTGGGAGCTGTCCAGCTCTTCAGCTCAAGGCTAGCGCTCTACCACTTGAGCCACAGCGCCACTTCTGGCTTTTTTTTTTTTCCTGCTTATGTGGTGCTGAGGAATCAAACTCAGGGCCTCAGGCATGCAAGGCAAGCTCTCTACCACTGAGCCACCTTCCTAGCCCTCCATGCAACTCTTATCTCCATGAAGCACCAGAAAATCAGGCTCAACTTGGTAGAGTGCTAGCCTTGAGCAAAAGAAGCTCAGGGACAGCACCCAGGCCCAAGACCAGAAGATAAAAAAAAAAGTTAACCATAGCTGGAAGGGTTAGAGGCTAGCCCATAGCAGGAGTCAGAGGTTAGCCCACTGCCAAAAAGCAGCAGCTTTACTTGCTTAGCCTATAATAGGAACAGACTCACAGAGACATCTTTGACATTCTTTTTATTTTTTGGGGGGTCCAGTCCTGGGGCCTGAACTCTAGGCCTGGGCACTGTCCCTCAGCTCTTCAGCTCAAGGCTAGTGCTCTACCACTTGAGCCACAGCACCACTTCCGGCTTTTTTCTTTTTGCTTATGTGGTGCTAAAGAATCGAACCCAGGGCCTCAGGAATGCAAGGCAAGCGCTCTACCACTGAGCCACCTTCCCAGCCCCTTCTTTGACATTCTTGAAGGATTCTCACTCCTGTGGGGAAAGAGATCAGAAGCTGCCGAGGTGTCAGCCCAGCTTCATTGCCAGGGACTCGGAAGTGGGTATCCACTGTGCTGAGACAATATCCACAGAGTCCCCAGCCCCAAGAACCATGCTGGAAGCATCATCCACATACCCAGGCTGCACTCACCTCTTGGCCAGAGGTTCTGTGGGCAGTTGATGAAATAGCTTAAGGCAAAAAGGGTTTTCACGGCCCTCCAATATAAGCACCTTCCCCACCCCTTCCCCTTTGTTTGTTAAAAACCACCCACAGAGGCCCGAGCCCAGAAGCCCCTGTAAGCTCAGCTACTTAGGAGGCTGAGATCTGAGGATCGTGCTTCAAAGCCAGCCTGGGGAAGGAAAGTCCATGAGACTCTTATCTCCAATAAACCACCAGAAAATCGGAAGTGGTGCTGTGGCTCCAGTGGTAGAGTGCTCACTTTGAGCTGAAGAGCTGAGGGACAGCGCCCAGGCCCAGAGTTCAAGCCCCATGACTGACCAAAAACAAACAAACACCCACAGCTGGGTGGATCCATCCTCTGTCCCCAGTGAGCAAACAGATGTGGGCGTGACTAGGCTTACCGGAAATGAACCGAATAGGAAAGGGAAACTGAAATGCAGTCTCACCAGCCTGGAAATCGGGTCTCTTTGAGGAATGCCCTGAGCAGCTTTAGCCTGGCTCACCCTGGAATCCCTGAAGGGATTAGACATGGGGTGTGGGGGGAACCCCACCCTTGTCCTGGGCTGAGGCTTAGCATGTGTGTGCTTGAGGCTGCCCCATTAACGGAGGCACAACTTTCTAGCCATAAAATCTTTGGATCCTGTGGTTATTACTTGATTTTGTTGTGTTGCTGTCAGTTGTGGGGCTTGAACTCAGGGCCTGGGTGCTACCTCTGAGGTTTTGTGCCCCAGGCTAGCTAGCATCCTGTCACTTGAGCCACAGTTCTACTTCCAGCTTTTTTTTTTTTTTGGTGGTTCTTTCAGGGTAAGAGTCTCACAGACTTTCCCACTACGGTTGGCTTCGAACTGTGATCCTCAGATCTCAGCCTCCTGAGTAGCTCAGATGCTAGGTGTGAGCCACCAGCTCCTGCTCATGCCACATTTCTGAAATCTGTCTTGCCACTGTGGACATCTACTTCGCTATTGTAACTGCTGTATTATGTTAGGGTGCATCCAAGCCTGTTCATACCTACTCCCCCAGAAACGGACACTGAGGTTGCTTTCACCCGCTGTGCCTCCCCGCTCCCCCCAGCACCATAAGGCTCACACCTGTCTCCTGTGTGGGAGAGTTTTTCCCCCCTAGAATATACTGTAGCACACAAGCTGAATCCCTCCCACCACTGTCCTGTGGCCTCATCTTTTGTGCTCACTTGTGGATCCAGTGGGCAGTTCCCCACACTGATGGCTCTCCACCTGTGGGGACCTGAGATCTTTCAGGCTGAGTCTGGGTTTGTGTGTGTGTGTATGAGGGAGGGGGCAGCATACACGTACACACATGCGCACTCCTGTGTAACTAGAAATCCCAGGACCGATTAACTCAGAGCCATCCTTAATCAGGATGGTGTGAGAGTAATTTCTGTAGCTTTCCTGCTCCTCTAAGGTCCCCTAAGGTGTGTTCTGTGATCTCTCTCTCTCTCTCTGACTCTCTCTCCTTTGCCTAAAAGGCACTCTACTACTTAAGCCATATCTCCAACCCTTCTTCCTTCTTCTTTTTTCAGGTAGGGTCTCTTGCTTTTGGCCCTAAGCTAGCCTTGGACCAGGATCTTCTTTCCTCTGACTCCTGAATAGCTGGGATTATAGGCAAGCACCACCATACCCTGCTTCTACTTGATTTCTGCATTTATGGAGAATGCTAACCCTCATAGGGCTGAGATGAGGGGCATAGGATGTAAAACTTAAGGGGGGGGTCATTCTCCCAGTCAGAGAGTGCCCTAAATATCTCACTCTGCTCCAGACTCTACCATTTACTGGTGTGTGTGGGGGGGCACTTGTCCTGGAACTTGAACTCAGAGCCTGGTCACTGACCCTGTGCTTTTTCACTTAAGGCTGGCATTCTACCATTTGAAACACAACTCCACTTCTAGCTTTTTAGTGGCTCATGGGAGATAAGGATCTCATGAACTTTCCCACCCTGGAGGGCTTTGAACCATGATTGTCAGATCTTGGCTTGAGTAGTTGGTATTACATGTGTGAGCCACTAGGGAGGGGAAGAGTCTGGGTTGGGGGCAGTAGCAGGTGGCCTATTGACCAGATTTGAGAAACAGAAGTGAGACTGAAGAAGGGGGCTGCTTTTCTATCTTGAGAAGAAATCTGAGTGGAAATTCCTTGGAACAGTGGGAGGAGACGAAGCCAGCCCTGAGTCACCTCTATCCTCCAGCGACATGAAAGTACAGAGTAAGGAGGTAGATGTTTTTAAAGAAATTGGGGCATGGAGGAGGCCTGTGTGGGAATCTAAGGGGACACATGTGGGAGTTTGAGGGGGCATGCCAGGAGAAAGATGATGGGTTTGGATGACATGCCTCAAACACAGCCCATCATAAATAATGACACGATGTTTCCTGGGTGCTTTACACCCATGCTGGGGGAGACGCCATAGTTACACCCCTGTGATCTGTGATGGGGCTCTCTGCTTGCTGGGGTCACTGGCACTTGTAATCATCAAGCCACCCCCCCCACGCTCTTACACACACACACTCACACATGCACATACACACACGTGGTGTACTATATCATTTGCAGTTCACTCGCAAGTCCTGCTGACTAGATTTTCCTTCCTTCCTTCCTTCTTTCCTTTCTTTCTTTCTCCCTCTCTTTCTTTCTTTCTCTCTTTATTTTTTGCCAGTGCTAGGACTTGAACTCAGGGCCTGGGCTCTGTCTCTGAACTTCATTTGCTCAAAGCTAGCACTCTACCACTTGAGCCACAGTGCCACTTCCAGCTTTTTCGGTGTATGTGGTACTGAGGAATGGAACCCAGGGCTTCATGCATGCTAGGCAAACACTCTACCACTAAGCCACATTCCCAGCCCCTAGATTTTCTTTCTTTCTTTTTTCTTTCACTCTTTCTAGAAACTTAGAAACTTTATTTCTCTTTCTTTTCCTTTTCCATTCTTTCTTTATCTCTTTTCTTCCTTCTCTCCCTCCCTCCCTCCTTCCTTCCTTCCTTCCTTCCTTCCTTCCTTCCTTCCTTCCTCTCTCTCTTCCTTTCTTCACTTTCTCCTTCTCTAGCTTTCTCATTCTCTCTCTCTCTCTCTCTCTCTCTCCCCTAGGTTTTGTACGCTTTCTTAAATTCATTTCCTCCTTATGGTTGCTTGAATCTCTCAATGAATTTCTCCTTCACCCAGAACCTTGGTCAGTCTGGCCAGTAGATGGGGCTAGAGGGAACCCAGCTGGTGGCTTGTCCTGCTAAGTTGCGGCAAGCATGCTTTCCTCTCCATGACTGGGTCTCCAGTGGATTCTCTGGGGACAGCTTTTCCTCTTGCTGGGTGGCAGCAGCATATCCAGGGCCTTGGAGAATGCTGGCCTGGTCACTTTCTTCCTGTCCTCTCTCCAGTCCCAAGCACTTGTGAGCTGAGATAGGGAGGTGCTAACCCAGTCTGTCATCTGTACAATTGGATTGGAGCTGCAGCTGCTCAAGCTATACACAGAAGAGCCCAAGGCTCCTACTTAGAGTGTGCTCTAGCCTCCAGCTCTGTGTGCCCTCAGCAGCTCCCCAAACTGTGTACCCACATACCATCCTTGGCTTTGTCTGAACCCAAAGGGCTGTTTCTGCTTTCCTGGTGATCAGAGGACTTTGCCAACTTTGTGACTGAGCTCCCAATGCTCCTTACCAGTATGTCCTCCTTAGGTCCTCTTCCCTAGTTCTGCTGCTTGGAGTTCTCTCCCTCCAGGTGCCAGTGGCTCATGCTTATAGTTCTAGTTATTCAGAAGCCTGAGATTTACCACTCGAGCCACAGCTCTATTTCCAGCTTTTTGCTGATTAATTAGAGATAAGAGTCTCATGGATGGGCTGGGAAGTTGGCTCCGTGGTAGAGCGCTTGCCTTGCATGCCTGAGGCCCTGGGTTTGATTCCTCAGCACCACATAAGCAAAAAGAAAAAAGCCGGAAGTGGCGCTGTGGCTCAAGTGGTAGAGCGCTAGCCTTGAGCTGAAGAGCTGAGGGACAGCGCCCAGACCCAGAGTTCAGGCCCCATGACCGGACCCAAAAAAAAAAAGTCTCATGGATTTTCCTGCCTGTGCTGGTTTCAACCCACAATCCACTAATCAGGATTAGCTAGGATGACAGGCGTGAGCCACCAGTGGATTTTTTTGTGTGTGTGCCAATCCTGCCGTTGAACTCAGGGCCTGGGCTCTGTCTCTGAACTTCATTTGCTCAAAGCTAGCACTCTACCACTTGAGCCACAGTGCCACTTCCGGCTTTTTTCTTATGTGGTGCTAAGGAATCGAACCAGGGCCTCAGGCATGCAAGGCAAGCGCTCTACCACTAAGCCACCTTCCCAGCCCCCCTGAGCTTCTTTTGCTCAAGTCTTTCACTTACTACTTGAGCCACAGAACCATTTCTGGCTTTTTCTGCTTATGTGGTGCTAAGGAATCGAACCCAGGGACTCATGCATGCAAGGCAAGTACCCTACCACTGAGCCACCTTCCCAGCCCCCTCAACTGCATTTTCTTTGAGACAGTTTGTGTAGCTAAATTACCTCATAGCCTGTGTGCTTATCTCTGATTCCTTTCTTTTACAGTTACCTCTCCTTATGCAAAATTCCTGGAAAAGACTGGCTAAGACTCCTCAAATTCCTGAGGCCAACACAATTTCAGGACCATGGACAGGTAGTGATACCTGAACACTGGTACCATGCCCCAAATGGTTCCAATTTATTTATTTTTGGGGGGGGCGGGGTCCAGTTGTGGGGCCTGAACTCTGGGCCTGGGCGCTGTCCCTCAGCTCTTCAGCTCAAGGCTAGCACTCTACCACTTGAGCCACAGCGCCACTTCTGGCTTTTTTCTTTTGCTTATGTGGTGCTGAGGAAGGAACCCAGGGCCTCATGCATGCAAGGCAAGCGCTCTACCACTGAGCCACCTTCCCAGCCCCCCAATTTATTTATATCACTTCATTTTTGTATTTATTTTCATTGGTTTGTTTTTCTGCCATACTGAGACTTGAACTCCAGGCC